GGTTTCTTCGCAAGTGCTTTGGTTGTTTTTGGCTGAGGTAAAAAACTGGCACCAGTCATTTTTGTTTGCTTCTTTTTTCATAGTTTATTTGGAGTGATCAGAAGAAAGATCCCCATCATCAGATTCAATTAGATGAACCTCAGGTTCTTTTTTCTTTCTCTTTCTTGGTGTCGAAGGTGGTCTCCGACTTTCCTACAAAAACATTATACTTCAGATATCAGATTGGGAAGGCAATATGCAAAAAGAAAAGATAATAATCACAAAGTTTTATCTTAGTTGTGGTTTTCTTGGAGTTGTCTTCATCTTTTTCTTCCACAACTTCTTTTTCAACGGGGGTAGGTTTCTTATCTGAATTTTTTACGATTGCAGAGAAAATAAAAGCAATTAGCATAAGCCAATTACAAAACTTAAATAAATAAAATGGATAGAAAGAGGTGGTGTCGAAGAACCTCCTATTCCACGCCTTCATATATTGGAGACTCCATGCGAACGTGTTCTATGTCAATATGAAGGTGGTCTTTGAAATTATCTAGAGTGTACTTAGTCGGAACCACTCTCTTAGCACGCTTTTGGGATTCTTGGTGAAGAATTTTCATAAAATCCCCACAGACAAACCTGTCTGAAAATGGAGGGCTAAAAGCCATACCAAAATCAACAGTTGGCAGTCGAGGGAATTTTTGAGGATAAAGATTAAAAGCTAACTCGTAGCGTTGACCAGGTTTAACATACAAAGGAAGTTTTAAGTCCTTTAATTTCTTTGTAAATTTTTATTTTAAAGTCACTGCTGCTTCGCTAATAGTTCGACTAAGATCATCTGGCCTGTAGGCAGTTTCAAAGTATTTCTGGAACGTTTGGATTTCCTTGATGAATGTTGAAGTACCTTTCTTCACTTTGTCATGCACAAGGGAAAAATCTCTAGTTAGTTGGAGATTGAAGGCAGCTACATCAAAGAATTATGCATTGTAATACTCTCTCCACCAATCGTCAAACTCTCTGGTGTAGAGGAAGCATAATTTGAAGGCTACACGATTGAACTCTATGAGGTCAGAAAACGTGTCTAACAGCTTAGCGCATTTCACCTCATTGTTCCACATGTTATAATGAAGCAGTGAGCCCTTTTTGGGAAAGAGGTTTGGTTTTTATTTGAATAAGACCAAACTGTCGAGAGACGAGATTTGTTTGGTAACTGACAAGAGAAATTCAAAGCTTTGAAGGTTTGAGCCTTAAAGCCAGCAATCTTGGCGTAAGGAAATATTCCCAAACGTCAAAAGATTCAACTTCATGTTCCTTTGACTCACGAGGAAACTTCTTTGTGAACCATTCAGGGCCTACTTTTCTATTGGCAAAAGGGGCCATGTTGGGAGAAAAATTATAACACATCGCAAACATCATCACATAGTTGGTGAAGGTGTATTGAAGATCCAGTCATTTGTCACTAGGAGTCAATAGGGCAAGCTTCGTCCCTTCGAACCTTCTATTATTCACTTCGACGAATGCTTCGTTAATGGGATTTCGAGCAGGAATGGATGCTTCGAAAGTGGCATTCAACCATAGTTTCAGCATCCAGAAAGGTCCAAAAAGGAGCAAGCTTCTTCTCGTCTTGAGTGTCTTCAATGTTGTGACTCATTCACCAAGGGATACATATAGGTTGGCTAGAATTATTTCGCCGAGACAAATGTCATGTCTAACATGCAGTTGGTTGGCCATGGTTAGGTACCTCTTCGCCACTTGAAGAGACCTTGAGCAAAACACACAGTGTGAAAGCCAAAGGGCTAGGAAGGCAACGTGTTCTTGGTTAGAGACTTCTTTGGTTTCTTTTTCATGATAGTAGGCTATGTAAGTGGTGAAAGTTGCTTTGTTGGTGGCAAAACTTATTGAGTCATCAGCTAAAAGGGTGCAATCATAATCCACTCCAATATGTTTTAGGTCTGTAATGGCAGTGACGTTGAACAAAGTTAGGGTAACCATTCCACAAGGAAGTTAGAAATTATTGTGGGTTATGTCCTAAAAATAGAGGGAAGCAATAAGCATACATGGGCAGTAACTTGGCCCCACATTCGACATCTGAATTAGGTCGAAGATGCCTATGTTTTTCCAAACTTGGGATTTCGCTTTCTCTATTTTTTCTAACCAAGCTAAGTAATCAGAAGGGTCTTTGGAAAAAACACATGACCTAAAAACCCTAAAACTAGTGTTTATAAACTCTAAGATGATTGGGTGCCTAGAAGCTATGGTAGAAGGAGAACCTTGACCATCTATCTGTGCTTTCTCATCAATTTTGATTTCCTCATCAGTCCTAGGTTTTAAACCGTTGGCTATGGGTTTGTAACGATGGTAAACGGGGGGAAAAGCAGGGCCAGCAGTAAGATCAGGTAGAGGACCTAACATAGCATGGGTCTTACCAGAAATAAGAAGGGGAATTAATACATGTGATTGATAAATTTTGCGTTTCTCCTCTTCATTTGGAGGTTCAGGGATGTACTGTTGATTTCCAACCACGTTTGGACCCAGCACTCTATGAACTGGAGTAAGTTCTTTGGATTTTTTGGAGTCTTTGGCATTTTTGTTTGTTTCCTTGTAAATTTTTGAAGTGGAAGCCATTGTTGTAATAAGTTTGCAGAGAAAAAGATTTGAGAGAGATAAAGTTTGAAGAAATACGCTTGAGAGTTTGAGAGTGAAAAGAGAAAAATGGTGTTTTTTTCATTATTTTATAGATGAATGAAGTGGAGCGGTTACTGCACACGATCACTGTGCAACATTAATGGTGAGAAGAATCATGGGACGTGTGTCATGTGAGGGTTATGTGATGAGACGGTAGCAGTTAAAAGTATGATCCATGATCTCTTAGAGATTAGACGTGTGATGATTGAAAAGATTCACGCATGGATTTGAGGAGACGTTTGGGGAAAGTTGTCATGATGACAATGACGTCATATCAGTCCAAGGTTTCTAGCGTCAAATATGAAAAACTTCAAAAAATATCATTTTCTCAACTTAGTCGAAAATGACATTTAGGGGGGGGGGGGCAATTTATTGGCTGGGAATTTCGACGCCACGTTCCCATTTGAGAAACTAAGGAAAATTAGAAGTTTCTTAAATATGGTTGACTTCGACAGAAGTTAATGTGAAATTTTGTCGAAGTGGTTCTCATAAGGAGACGTGCTTGGACAAAAACTTAGAAATATTTTCTAAGTATAGAAGGTCACTTCGACGAAGGGATGATTTGGAGTCTTCCTTCGACAAGAGATTTGAATTTTAAAATACAGATAAATAATTCTTTTTTGTCCTTATCCATTTCTCAGGAGAGATGCGTAGAGAACTATGCAGAAACGAAGGCATGCAGGGCGAAACATGTCAATTTTTGGAGAAATGCTTGTTGGAGACAGTTATTTTGACGTATTATAAATAAAAGTCTTAGTATTAGGATTTCTGCGTGTTAAATTATTGTAATATACTCAAAATTTACCCAAAGTATCCAAGTTAACGTGAGAAAAAAGTTATTGTTGAGAAATGTACGTTGAAACACCATATTTTATTTAATAAGAATTTACTTTCTTTTGTTAATGGCTCTTTACTGCATTTCTTTTACTTTGAAGTTATTTTCTTCACTGCATTTCTTTTATAAACTTTTGTAAAGTTTAGCCTTTTCAACAAACAATCAAAACTATATTTTTACACTATAATGTTGTTGAAGTGTTCGTCACTTTTTTCTAGAAATACATCAATGCAATAGCTATGTCCTCTAGATTCATTGGAGTATCCTACAAGTAAACCAAATTTTTGGAAGACCAGCGGTTGTTTACCAATTTTCACGGTAAACAGGTTTTTCGATCATAGCGAAATTCCATATTATTTTGTGCACTCTTGAAATTGCCAAGTCTCGTGGTTCATGAAAGCTTTTGATGGAAACAAATTGTTTGTTGGTGGTCAAAGCTTATTTCAACCCTAGACTGGTTCTTATTGGCCTTTGTAACAAATGGATTGAAAGCAGTAGTCAAACTAATTTTTACCAATCTAATTTTCATGCACATATTTAGGACAAAAAATCTTGTCACTGATTATTTTTGCTAATATAGGTATCACCGCAAATTCTTCCGTTACTTTTGACTCTATTTCAATTGAGATTATAAAAGATTTTGTAAATAATAGGTTAGACATACCTTTCTTTTTGGTTTTTTAATTTTTTAAAGAGATTTTTAATTTTTAATTTTTTATAATTCCTTGGTTATTTCTTTTAGTTATCTTTATTATATAAAATGGAACAACCTATGCAGCTCCTATGAAATCATAATTCCCTCTCTTTTCCCTCCTTTATGCTCCAACTATAACTTTAGTTATTAATTATTTATTTATATTTTAAATTTATTATTGATTTGTTGACATAGAGATTAGTATGAATCATTTTAAAAATTGCATTAACTTCACACATATTAATTCTTTGTAGATATGAAAAGTTGCATTAAACTCCAACGTATACACCCAATGCAAAGTTTTATATAATAAAGATTTTCACTAACTTCTCACATGTATGGTACATTCTTTGTAAATCTAAAAAGTTACTTTAGGTATACATCCAATGCATAATGGTTATCATTAGTCTAGAGCCTCTCCATTAATAAATGCACAACCCCACATATCCATTATTCTTAATAAGCTATTATTATAAATAGTGGTTGCTATCAAACAAATACTCCTACATCACAAGTTTAAAAATAATACTGAAGTTAAGGTTGCTATACTTAGTTGAGTTCAAGGATGTCTACAAAAGGTGTCAAAAGTATTTTCGTTTGATGCTAATCAGTTTATATATTTTTAGTTCATATATTTTTACTAATTGATTATTTCTTATAAAAAATGCAGTTGTAACTTCCGTACCACCCAAGATCACTGCAGTTTCTGCAATTGTTCCTGGCAAGTTTGAGTTTCGTCTAAGGGTTCGTGTGATTCACTATTGAACACTTCCTGAACACTACAACTCTACAGATATAGGAAGTTTTCATATGATCTTGCTAGAAGATAAGGTATAAATTCAAAGTTTATCTATTACTTATTATCTGTGAAACAATATTATCGAACTTATGCCCTTTATATATTTTTGTTTGTTTAGTGCGGCAAAATTCAGGCCACTGTTAGAAAGAATTTGATTCCTACATTTAAGGAGCAGATTGAAGTAGGTTCATCATATATGTTTGAAAATCTTATGGTAGGTAGCAACCACCCTTCCTACAAAGTTACGACACATAAGTACAAACTGAATTTCATGCAATCAAGCAAAGTATTCAAAGTTAATGCGCCTGATATACCTCAATATCATTTTGATTTCATACCTTTCTCTGAAATTTTGAGTGCTACTAAAGAAGACAGGTTACTTGGTAAGTTTAACTCTTTGTATAATATCATAGAATTGATAATATTTACATCTTTTTTATTAGTTTAACATATATTAAATTGCTTCTTTAAATATGTGTATATATTAGATATTATTGGTCATGTTGTGGAAACGAATACTGTCAATGAAGTTGAGAAAAATGAAAAAAAGAGTGAGGTTATGGATCTGACTATTGAAGATTTAGAGTAAGTCTGACACCTTTATTTATTTTTATTTTGATGTAAATATATTGTTTTATTCTAAATTGCTATACCTTGACACCTATAATGTAGGAGCAACAAAATTCATTGCACATTGTGGGAGGATTTTGCAGAAATGATGCAGAAACTTATGGACAACCATAAATCTTCTGATCCAATAATCATGATACTTCAACAATGCAAGCTAAAAAAGTTTTTTGGTGAGTACCAAATGTGTCTAAATATTGTAGGCAATTTTGAATATTTAGAAAAATGATTTTTGATATGTAAATTTTTCAGGTGTTATGGGAGTCTCTAATGCTTACTATGGAACTAAAATGATGTTGAATGCGGGTTTGATAGACACTGCTAATTATATATCTAAGTTAGTTTATAAAGTCAACAAATTATTTTTAGTTTATAATATTATTCATCTCTTTAAATGATATTAAACTATATGATCTATAACATGTTTAGGATGAATGGTACTGAGATAGAAATCACACAAGGAGTGAGTCAAATGTCTGGTCCAACAATTCTCCCTCTAGAAGATGACTTGCTCCAGACACAAAAAATGACAATTAAGAACTTGATAGAATCCGCTGAGGTAATTTTATTTTGTTTTTTTTTATTTGCGTTGTATAATCCGATGATCAATTTTATATCATGTGATAGTTTTGATGGTTATATACATGTTCCAAAACTTTACTAATTTATATTTTATGGTTTCATATGGTGAACAAATGGTAGAAATGTGTTGGTACTATTCTAGCAAGAACATGTGAAATTGAGACAGATCTTGGATGGTATTATCAAGCTTGCACCAAAGTGTGCATCAAAGTATGCTCCAATTGAAGAGGTAGTAAATAAACCATACATAGACTCCACCAAATTTTTGGCATGGATGGATGCTAACAAAAAATATCCAGAGGCAAGAAATCTTACATACAGTGAGTTTCAATTTGTATGGAAAGAAAAGGCGCATCGATGGACTCCACGTCAAAAGGGTTTTTCAGTTGGAAGACTGCTTTATGCAGCACCTGGATCTAGACAATATGAGCATATGCCACACAAACAAATATTCTCAGTCTGTCGAGACTAGGTGGATGTCCCGATCAAACTTCTTCAGGTGTCTTCATTCCCAAGGCAGTCGAGGGACATCTATTTATCAGGTAAGCTACTGTCGAAATAGCTTCCGCCCAAAACACCTTTTTCAATCCAGCACTAACCAACATGCATCTAACCCTTTCAAGGATTGTTCGATTGAATCTCTCAGCTAAGCCATTTTGTTGAGGAGTACCTTCTACAGTCTTATACCTTGTAATCCCAGACTCAACACAGTAACTGTTGAACGCTTCATTGCAGAATTCAAGGCCATTGTCGGTTCTCAACCTCTTAACCTTTCTGCCAGTTTGAGTTTCGACCAAAATCTTCCAACTTTTGAAATTCTCAAAATTTTCATCCTTCGTCTTCTGAATAAATACCCAGAGCTTTCTGGAATAGTCATCAATGATGGATAGAAAATACCTTGCACCTAAGTGTGAAGGATTCCTTGCAGGTCCCCAAAGATCAGCATGAATTTAATCCAGGGATTCATGTGTTCTTTGCTTGCCTTTGTTAAACTTCGCCCTACAGGGTTTACCAAATACACAAGATTCACAAAATTCTAACTTTTCAACTTTGTCACCTCCTAGCAGGTTCTGCTTCCCCAATTCGATCAAGCCTCTTTCGCTGACATGGCCCAATCTCATGTGCCATAATTCTGTCTTCGACATAGATTTCATGGATGCAACATTTGTAGAACCGCTTACAACCTCAGCCTCAAGGGTATACAAGCCTTGTTTCTTCACGCCTCTCAAGACTTCCTTCGACCCCTTCATGACTCTTAGGATACTTTTCTCACCTTGAAAAACGTATCCTTTTCTGTCGAATTCACCAAGAGAAATCAGATTTCTCTTCAAGTTAGGTACGTACCTGACTTCAGTCAATAACCTTATTGACTCATCATGGAGCTTGAATCTCACAGATCCAATACCTGCAATTTTGCAAGATTTGTTGTTTCCCAACATCACAGATCCACCATCTTGATCACATAGCTCCTCGAACAATTCTTTGTTTGGAGTCATGTGCCAAGTGCAACCTGAATCCATAATCCACTCTTTTCTCGAGTCGCCACTTGAAACAACAAGAACATCATATGAGTCGAAGTCATCTTGAACAATGGCTGCATTACCATTACCTCCATGATCTTTCAGGCGTTCAGGGCACACCTTTCTTATGTGACCCTCTTTCTTACAATGATAACATCGAATACTATATGTTTCACCACTATAAGACTTCTGTTGACTTTTACCTTTCTTCTTGTCGAACTTACCATCCTTTCGCAAGAATTTTCCCTTAACGGCCAAACCTTCTCCCACCGTCGAAGGTTTATGCTCCTTTCGTTCGGCAAGTCCTTAGAATATAAAGCTGATTGAACTTCTTCAAGGGTCAAGGACTCCCTTCCGTACAAGAGAGTTTCTTTGAAGTGAGCATGTGTTCTGGGAAAAGCACACAGCAGCAACAGTGCTTGATCTTCATCGTCGATCTTCACATTAATATTTTCAAGATCAAGAATCAGCTTGTTGAACATATCCAACTGCTCAGCCAGCACTTTGTCTTCACTCATCTTGAATGAATATAAAGCTTGCTTCAGGTAGAGTCGATTCACCAAAGATTTGGTCATGTACAAACTTTCAAGTTTAGCCCATAATCCCGATGTTGTAGTCTCCTTTGATACCTGTCGAAGAACCTTATCACCAAGGCTCAACAATATTGCATTGTGGGATTTCTCGATCATGCCCGTCTTTTCTTTTGTCGTTAACGCAACGTCCATGGCTGCCTCACCCTTCAACGCTTCCAAACAACCCTGCTGAACCAATAGGGCTTTCATCTTCAAGCGCCACAGACCGAAGTCGTTCACTCCGGTGAACTTTTCAATCTCCTACTTTGTTGAAGGCATCTTCTCCACGCTCACTACACCAATTTGTTGTGAATCAGATACCTTAAAACTAAGTATAAACAGTTTCTTTGTAATCAAGAAACTCACAAGGGTTAAGGTTAGGGTTAATAAAGAAGAAAACAATAAGGATTGGTTATTAAACTGCTATTCTTTCGTTTCTCTCAGAACAAGATTACAAGTATACAAGAATAACAAAATAACCTCTCTCTCTTGAAATTAGGATTTTATCTTCCTATTTTTCCTTATGTCAAGATTGAGAAACTAGTATCCTATTTATAAGAAAAATAGCACACTAACCTAATGGGCTTTTTAAAAATTACCCATTACAAGCTAATTTAGGGTACAAACTAACTTAAACAATTTGACTTACAAATAAGGCCCAATTCAACATGCTAACAACCCTAGCAATATTAGTTAATGCATGTTAGAACAAACTTCGACTACAACACGCATTACTCACGAACAGACTTCGACCATACTAGAGTTAGATCCAACATCTCACAAATCTCCACCTTGGATCTAACTCTATAACGTCAAGAAACTAGCTTTCTTCGTACAGCTTTATTAACTACATACAGTGGAAAAACTTGCAACTGAGCAACGTCTTGGCGATCATATCAGCAACATTATGATCTGTCGAAACCTTCAACACTTGGACTTCTCCACGCTCGATTACCCCTCTGATGAAATGCAACCTCACATCAATGTGCTTGGTTCGCTCATGATAGGCTGAATTCTTCGTCAGGTGTATTGCACTTTGACTATCACATTTAACAGTGATAACTCGACCTTGAAGTTTTAGCTCCTTTGCAAAACCTTCAAGCCACAATGCTTCCTTCACAGCTTCAGTTAAGGAAATATACTCCGCTTCAGTGGTTGATAAGGCAACGACCTTCTGAAGTGTTGTTTTCCAACTGATTGTTGTCCCAAACATAGTGAACACATATCCAGAGATAGATTTTCTGGAATCCATACAACCTGCGTAATCAGAGTCGACATATCCTTCCATTGCAACTTTACTATCTTCACCCAAGGCTCCACCATAAATTAGAAATCTATGCAGAGATCTATTTATGTACCTTAAAATCCACTTCAATTCTTGCCAGTGAGCCTTTCCAGGATTCACCATGTACCTGCTTACAAGACTTACTGCATATGCTATGTCGGGTCTAGTACAGACCATAACATACATCAAAGAACCTACTATGTTAGCATATGGAATGCTATTCATATAAGTTCTTTCAACATAAGTGCTGGGACTTTGATCTATACTCAGCTTGAATTGAGGGTTTGTCGGAGTCACAACAAACTTTGAATTCGACATACCAAACTTTTCGAGAGCCTTCTTATGATTCCTCATAACTTCCTTATAGTCTCTAGGTTCTTCGTCTAGAACCTCACTTGCAGAGATTAAGGCATAAGCTATAAGATATGCATACCCAAGTCTCTGAGGTGGCTTGATGACTCTCCTCGAACTGTCTCTTGTTAGCAGGTAGTCATTATCTATCTCCTCGTCTTCGACAACATCTTCTGCGTCTTCGACTTCATCTGGGGTAAGCAATTCAGGATCAACATGCTCCACCTCAACAAGAATCTCTTCTTGTTCCAGCTCTTCGTCAGCATCATCAGTTTTCTTGAAAGCCATTTCTGCTTCATTGAAAACTACATCTCGACTGGTGATGCACCTCTTGTGACCTGGCTCTAGGCACCATAACCTATAAGCTTTTACTCCTTCAGGGTATCCCATGAACATGCATTTCAGAGCTCTAGGTTCGACCTTGTCTTGCCTAATATGAGCATAGGCCAAACAACCAAATATTCTCAGTCTGTCGAGACTAGGTGGATGTCCCGACCAAACTTCTTCAGGTATCTTCATTCCCAAGGCAGTTGAGGGACATCTATTTATCAGGTAAGCTACTGTCGAAATAGCTTCCGCCTAAAACACCTTCTTCAATCCAGCACTAACTAACATGCATCTAACCCTTTTAAGGATTGTTCGATTGAATCTCTCAGCTAAGCCATTTTGTTGAGGAGTACCTGCTACAGTCTTATACCTTGCAATCCCATACTCAACATAGTAACTGTTGAATGCTTCATTGCAGAATTCAAGGCCATTGTCGGTTCTCAACCTCTTAACCTTTCTGCCAGTTTGAGTTTCGACCAAAATCTTCCAACTTTTGAAATTCTCAAAAGTTTCATCCTTCGTCTTCTGAATAAATACCCATAGCTTTTTGGAATAGTCATCAACGATGGATAGAAAATACCTTGCACCTGAGTGTGAAGGATTCCTTGCAGGTCCCTAAAGATCAGCATGAATGTAATCCAGGGATCCATGTGTTCTTTGCTTGCTTTGTTAAACTTCGCCCTACAAGATTTACCAAATACACAAGATTCACAAAATTCCAACTTTTCAACTTTGTCACCTCCTAGCAGGTTCTGCTTCCCCAATTCGATCAGGCCTCTTTCGCTGACATGGCCCAATCTCATGTGCCATAATTCTGTCTTCGACATAGATTTAGTGGATGCAACATTTGTCGAACCGCTTACAACCTCAGCCTCAAGGGTATACAAGCCTTGTTTCTTCACGCCTCTCAAGACTTCCTTCGACCCCTTCATGACTCTTAGGATACTTTTCTCACCTTGAAAAACGTATCCTTTTCTGTCGAATTCACCAAGAGAAATCAGATTTCTCTTTAAGTTAGGTACATACCTGACTTCAGTCAATAACCTTATTGACTCATCATGGAGCTTGAATCACACATATTCAATACCTGCAATTTTGCAAGATTTGTTGTTTCCCAACAGCACAAATCCCCATCTTGATCACATAGCTCCTCGAACAATTCTCTGTTTGGAGTCATGTGCCAAGTGCAACCTGAATCCATAATCCACTCTTTTCTCGAGTCTCCACTTGAAACAACAAGAACATCAGATGAGTCGAAGTCATCTTGAACAATGGCTGCATTACCATTAACTCCATGATCTTTCAGGCGTTCAGGGCACACCTTTCTTATGTGACCCTCCTTCTTACAATGATAACATTGAATACTAGATGTTTCGCCACTATAAAACTTATGTTGACTTTTACCTTTCTTCTTGTCGAACTTACCATCCTTTCGCAAGAATTTTCCCTTAACGGCAAAACCTTCGCCCACCGTCGAAGGTTTATGCTCCTTTCGTTCGTTCAAGTCCTTAGAATATAAAGCTGATTGAACTTCTTCAAAGGTCAAGGACTCCCTTCCATACAAGAGAGTTTTTTTGAAGTGAGTATGTGTTCTGGGCAAAGCACACAGCAGCAACAGTGCTTGATCTTCATCGTCGATCTTCACATCAATATTTTCAAGATCAAGAATCAGCTTGTTGAACATATCCAACTGCTCAGCCAGCACTTTGTCTTCACTTATCTTGAATGAATATAAAGCTTGATTTAGGTAGAGTCGATTCACCAAAGATTTGGTCATGTACAAACTTTCAAGTTTAGCCCATAATCCCGATGTTGTAGTCTCCTTTGATACCTGTCGAAGAACCTTATCACCAAGGCTCAACAATATTGCGTTGTGGGCTTTCTCGATCATGCCCGTCTTTTCTTTTGTCGTTAACGCAACGTCCATGGTGCCTCACCCTTCAACGCTTCCAAACAACCCTGCTGAACCAATAGGGCTTTCATCTTCAAGCGCCACAGACCGAAGTCGTTCACTCCGGTGAACTTTTCAATCTAATACTTTGTTGAAGGCATCTTCTCCATGCTCACCGCACCAATTTGTTGTGAATTGGATACCTTAAAACTAAGTATAAACAGTTTCTTTGTAATCAAGAAACTCACAAGGGTTAAGGTTAGGGTTGATAAAGAAGAAAACAATAAGGATTGGTTATTACACTGCTATTCTTTCGTTTCTCTTAGAACAAGATTACAAGTATACAAGAATAACAAAATAACCTCTCTCTCTTGAAATTAGGATTTTATCTTCCTATTTTTCCTTATGCCAAGATTGAGAAACTAGTATCCTATTTATAAGAAAAATAGCACACTAACATAATGGGCTTTTTAAAAATTACCCATTACAAGCTAATTTAGGGTACAAACTAACTTAAACAATTTGACTTACAAGTAAGGCCCAATTCAACATGCTAACAACCCTAGCAATATTAGTTAATGCATGTTAGAACAAACTTCGACTATAACACGCATTACTCACGAACAGACTTCGACCATACTAGAGTTCGATCCAACATCTCACATATATTATATTAAATTTGCAGATTTGGTCTTGATTGTTGATCAATTGAAGAGTTATGCTTTGGCTGAAATTGAGATTTTATTGCAAAGTAATAACGAAAGCTTGGAAGATTATCCTGAGATGCCTCAACCAGATAAAGCATTGTTACCCAAGAGACAAAATAGATTGATTTATGATGAGTTGAATTATGACATGTGGTCACTGTTAGAAGAGCATCATAATTTGATGTCAATAACGACAACTGAACAAATGAGAATATATGAAAGGATCATGAAAAGGGTCGATGAAAATAGATCGGGACTTTTTTTTCTATATGGTTATGGAGGAACTGGCAAAACTTATATTTGGAGAGCAATGTCTGCAGCAATAAGATCAAGGGATGAGATTGTTCTAACCGTCGCATCGAGTGAGATAGCTTCTTTGCTAACTCCTGGTGGAAGAACTGCACACTCAAGATTTGCCATCCCTATAGAAGTTCATGAATGCTCGACGTGTAATATCGCTCCAAAAGACCCTTTAGCTGAGTTAATACGTCGTGCAAAGTTAATAATATGGGATGAAGCCCCTATGACGCATAAGCATTGTTTTGAAGCTGTTGATCATACTTTTCAAGATATAATGCAAAATAAAAATATTCCATTTGACGGAAAAGTAGTTGTTTTGGGTGGAGATTTTCGTCAGATCCTTCCTGTTATCCCTAAAGGAACAAGACATGAAGTTGTGCATTCAACTATAAATTCTTCTCATCTTTGGAGTTATTGTGAAGTGCTTACATTGACCACTAATATGAGACTTCTGACTGGAGGTATAGATGCTGACATTGAAGAGAGAAAGAGTTTTTCGGAATGGATATTAGGAATCGGCGATGGAAGTATTGGAGATGCTAATGACGTAGATATCACAGTGGAAATACCACATGATTTGTTGATTCCTAGCTTTGGAGATCCACTTTTAGCTATTGTGGAAAGCACGTATCCAAATCTTTTACACAACTTGAATGATCTGTCTTTTTTTTCAAGAGAGGGCAATATTAGCTCCTAAAAATACCATTGTTGATGCCCTTAATGATTATATGTTGGATTTAATACCTGGAGAAGAAAAAACTTATTTGAGTTATGATTCTCCATGTAATGTTAGGTCAGACATTAACATGCCAAATGATGTGCATACTCCTGAATTTCTAAACACCATTGTATCTTCAGGACTACCAAATCACAAGTTGAAATTAAAAGTTGGAGTCCCAGTAATGTTGTTGAGAAATATTGATCAGTAGTTGGGATTGTGCAATGACACCCGATTGATAATTACAAAAAATGGGAAGATATGTCCTCGAAGGTAAGATTATATCAGGTAACAATATTGGTCAGAAGGTTTTTATTCCAAGGTTATCACTGACTCCAACCGATAAAAGAATCCCTTTCAAATTTCAACGTCGGCAGTTTCCATTGACTGTACCATTTGCTATGACAATCAACAAGAGTCAAGGTCAGTCACTTAAATATGTAGGAGTGTATCTTCCTCAGTCAATTTTTTCTCATGGGCAGTTATATATTGCATTGTCAAAAGTTACTTCAAAGAAAGGCTTAAAGATACTGATAACCAACGACGAAGGTGAAGATACAAATGTAATTGAAAATGTCGTTTACAAAGAAGTCTTTCATAATGTTTAATAGTTAATTGTTTACTTATTTCTCGATATGTATGTCAGATCATTTATGATCTTTAAAATTTTCTAATTTAAAAGTTATTCAATATTTATTTATGTTTCAAAATTTATTTATTTTTATTTTTTATATTAAAAGCTATTTTAATGTCAATTATTTCAATAATTACATTATAGATATTATATAATATCTAATTATATAAATAAAGAATAAAATATTATATATAACATATTAAAAAATTCCGTACATCACACCGGTCAAAGACTAGTGATTTTCCACGTCTAGGTTTGTGAATATCAGCATCTTTTGTCAAATGTCTTACCTTTATAACTACCTTTAATCTCATAAATAAATAAATAAATAAATAAATAAATAAGAAAGAGAATTTTTATTCCGTTAACTATTCATATGAAAAATAAATGGTAGAAATCTTTTCTTTTGAGATGCACGTATTTACAATACGGATAAAATTGATAAATATTACAATATCAATTTGATATTTAACCATCAAACTTAAGAGAGGGAACAAAATTGAAGAATGAAAAATATTTTAACAACTTTCGAATATTTTAATATAAGGATTAAATTGTAAATAATAATAATAATAATTGGAAGGTTTATCTGTTATTTTAAATTTATTTTTCAAAAAAACTTCATCGTAGCGGCCATGAAACTCCGAGTACGCCGCCGTGTTGTTTTCGTAAAATGCATTTCCGGCAGCCTCCCATGACATCACTGTGGCCTCCAGCCGCCGCTCCCCTCCGCACCGTCGCCGATTAGGTATGCCCATTATGTTGAATTTTCCGTTTCAATTTCACAAGCCTGTTACTTGTCTCCACAAACATGGTTACTACTCTTTTCGTACTCACAGTAACAACTACCTTAGTAACAACATAGTTTTCTTGTCACAACAACCAAATAATCATGTTCCCTCAATTGGGTCATTAGGGTTTCATGTGTCCAATGTTCATAGTGTTGACATTGGTCTTCCTCAACAAAAACATGATTATGTTGATGATAATGATGATGATGAATATGATGTTGTTGTTGATGATTTTGATGAAAGAGGAAAGGAATTGTATTCATATTTTGTGTCAAACAAAAAATTGTGTCCCTTGGATGCGTCTTTTGTGATGGAGAAGGATTTGCAATGCCGGGGTTCGACAGAATTGGGAGGTGTGAATGAGAATGAGGTTATGTTTTTGGAGGAAATGGATGTGAATGTTCTGTCGAATAGGATTTTGGAGCTTAGTAGAACTAACAAGATTAGAGGTGCGATGGAGTATTTTAGGTCGATGGAGTTATTCGGTCTATGTCCGAATATCCATGCGTGTAATTCTCTTTTGTCGGGTCTTTTGAGAAACGGGTCGCTTGATGATTGTTTTGAAGTGTTTGATTTTACGAAAGTGAAAAGGATAGCTACGGGGCATAGCTATAGTTTGATTCTTATGGCATGTGCGAAAGCTCGAGGATGTGATTCGGCCGTTGAGTTTTTCAGGAAACTGGAAAGGGATTGTGATGTGGGGAGAGATTTTGATGCGGTTGTTTACAATACTATGATATCTATCTGCAAGGAGGCTGGGAATTGGAGTGAAATAGAGAGGTTGTGGAGGAGTATGAAGGAAAATGAGTGTGCTCGAACGTTGGTTACATATCGGTTGTTAGTTAGTAGTTTTGTACATTGTAACCAAAGTGAGTTAGCTCTTTATGCTTACCGTGAAATGGTTCAAAATCGATTTGAACCAAACAATAATATATTGAATTCGATCGTTTGTGTATGTGCTAAGGAAGGAAAATGGGATGATGCATTGAGTTTCTTTCAGAAAATGTTGACGGGAGACTTCAAACCGAACTTAGTCGCATGCAACGCGTTGATTAACTCGCTTGGAAGAGCAGAGGAACTCAAACTAGCATTTCACGTCTACAATACGATGAAATCGTTGGGCCTAAAACCAGACGCGTATACATACAACGCTCTAATGAGTTCTCTTAACAAGGCCAATAAGCACGGCGAAGCTCTTCGTCTTTACAAACAGATAGAAAGGAACCAAATGCTTGAATTCAATAAACATTTATACAATACTGCTTTAATGTCTTGCTCGAAGCTTAAATTGTGGGATAGAGCTGTTGAGATTCTGTGGCAAATGGAAGCTTCTGGACTTTCGGATTTGACAGTTTCGTATAACCTAGTGATCCGGACTTGCGAGCTTGCATTAAAGCCGAGAATTGCATGGCAGGTGTACAAGCACATGGTTCACCAGAAGTGCAGTCCAAACATATTTACATATCTGTCCATAATAAGATGCTGCGCTAGAGGAGATCTCTATGAAGAATTAGAAGAAATCTTAAATGTGAGTAAAGAAATCACTTTCTGAATTTTAAATGAAATTGTAGAATAACTTATCTGACTCATTTTCTGTTCCTTTTGCAGAAGACTGTGCCGAACGCCACTCTTTATAACGCTGCGATTCAAGGGATGTGTTTACGTGGCAAGGTCAACTTGGCGAATGAGGCTTACACGAGAATGCTAGAGCACGGTCTTGAACCCGATGTCAAAACACGAGTACTTATGCATCCTAAGATAAGGAAATAAGTGTAGTAATTGCTATTGACTAACATAACAGAGTTTTGAAACTTGATCTAACGGAGAAGAATATCATTGTGAGCTGAATCGCAGTTGAGCAATCGATAAATAACGATTGTTAGGGTGCTAGGAAACAGAACAGCAGACGCAAATGTTACTGTAAGTCTGTATTAGCATTTGCTCTCCTTTCTCTCCTTCTATGGTCCTGAGTTATGTAAATGATGTAAGAGTTTTTCGTCCATTACGTGTCATCTCATAGTTAGAGTTTGACTTTGTAACCTTAGAGTCGAGCTCAAATCTTCTTGGAAACGGTTTGTAAAATGATCACTAGTGTCACTTTACATAGATTCTTTTGATAGAGTATTTTCAAAAAGATTTTTTTCGATAATGTATTTTTTGCAGATTTAAGTATATAGAATGTGGATTGAGAATTACTCATAATGTATATATGAGTTTTTTATCATGAAATGAGTTATTTTCCTCATTTAATTATGTTATAAACTGTTAAATACATTAATACCTAAACTATGAATCACACACACCCCAATCATAACCCGACACTAACACAATGACATCGATAATAATTTAAAAAAATTAATAAATTAAACGTAATTACAAATATAGACATAGATGTAACGCAGACATGAACATGGTTTTTTTCAAAGGGGTTGGTGTTACTTAGTACTAAATTTTTATAATAAGCATTTTCCCTTTACACTTAAATGGCTTTAAAGGAGTTAGAAACTTACAAATAAGTTTTACTTATGATCAACAACTTACTAAATTCATTGTCATTTAACTCAAGAAGTTTTAAAATAATAACTATTAAATAAAAGCATAATAACTTCTTATAGTTTAAATTCTTTCACTTTCACTACATGAAAAACCAAAACAACTCATTTCTACATAAACAACATGTCTAGTTTTAAACCCCTAATTGAAAATGATTCCAAAACCAATTTTCATGAGCTTGAATGGGTGATTAAAATTCGTGCATCCTTGGATAAAGAACTTGATGATGGTGATGATGATGGATTTATTGTGTCTATCTTCAATGTTCCTAAACCACTTATGGCTAGTGATCCATATTCTTATATCCCTCAACAAGTTGCAATTGGACCTTACCATTTTTGGAGTCAAGAGCTTTATGAAATGGAGAGATATAAGATTGCTTCAACAAAAAGATTCCAAAACCAATTACAAAGCCTCAAGTTAGAACATATTGTTGACCAATTGATAAGGTTAGAACACAACATTAGAGCATGTTATCACAAGTATTTAAATTTTAATGTTGAAACTTTGGTGTGGATGATGGTTGTTGATGCATCATTTTTGTTAGAATTTCTTCAAGTTTATACCATAGAAGATGAAACAATGATACTAAGTGTTTCCTCAAGGATGTCTCATTTGATTGATTATGGAGGGAGGAAATTAGGTCATAATGTGATTTTGAAGGACATAGTAATGCTTGAAAATCAAATACCTTTATTTATTTTGAGAAAGATGTTGGAGTTTAAATTTGCATCACTTGAATTAGGAGATGACATGTTGTTTTTGATGTTTATAGGATTGTATAAAGAGATTTCTCCGTTCAAATTGGTGGAACGGGATTATCCAAATATTGTTATCTCTGAGCGTGCACATCTGTTAGATTTTTTATATAACATGATCGTGCCTAGCTTAAACGATGAATCAGAAATAGAGAATCTACACAACGATAATGAACAAAATGAAAAATCGTACGTGAACTATGTTAAGAAAATCATAAGTGAAGTTTGGAGGTTGCTTTTGAAATTGACAACAATATTAATAAGCTTATTTAAGAAATTCAAGCAATGTAAAGCCATGAAAGTTATCACTTGGCTGCCTTGGACAGTTATTTCTAATCTTCCCGTAGTGGGAATCATAAAGCAGCCGGTCGAATACTTTCTTTTTTCAAAAGAAAACGAAGCTACGAAAGAAGGAAACGAAAATTTAAACTCAAATGATATCACTAACAAATCATTGTTAATCGATGAAATCGCTATTCCTTCTGTTACAGAACTCTCAAAGTCTGGAGTTAGTTTCGTAGCTACTAAGGGAGACATATCAAGTATTTCGTTCGATGTAAAATCAACAACTCTTTATCTTCCAACAATTAGTTTAGATATAAACACTGAAGTATTCATGAGAAACTTAGTTGCTTACGAAGCATCAACATCATCAGGACCATTAGTTTTCACCCGTTACACCGAGGTAATGAATGGAATCATAGACACGGAGGAAGATGCAAGGATTCTCAGAGAAAAAGGGATTATTTTGAACCACTTAAAAAGTGATCAAGAGGTTGCTAAGTTGTGGAATGGAATGAGCAAATCCATTAAGTTGACAAGAGTGCCATTCTTGGATAAGGTGATTGAGGATGTTAACAAGCACTATAATAGTAATGTGAGTATCAAAATTTGGAAATTCATGAAGGTATATGTGTTTGCTTCATGGCAATTTCTGAGTTTTCTTGCTGTCATCTTTCTCTTGTGTTTGATGTCATTGCAAGTCTTTTGTTCTTTCTATAAATGCAATGCTAGAAATCACTTTTAAGAAATTTTCTCTTGTCCAATTCAAGAATACATAATCAATACAATACAATACAATACATACAGAAGCCAGCAAAAAGTTCTATTACATCTTTAAAACAAATCAGGGAAAGAGAGTATTTATTACTCAAGAAAAACCACAATAACTATAACCGAGTTCGCAAATTACAATCGAAACCGAATATATGTTGCAAGCCTCGACACCTTTTGAAGCAAATTTGTACACAGGGTAGTAGCTTTTATGTTTATTCAAAATCGACGACGACTCATGAGACCCTCTCAGAAAACCCTGATTTTCTGACTAACTGAATTTACTCGGCCCATTCGTCAAGAACCTTGACCATCATTCGCGCGAAGTATTGCTCTTCGTGATCATCCCAAATGCGTTGCTGTATATAGCCACAACATTTGAGGCAACAGCGAGGACTATCATAACGACGCATAGAATCTTGTCTGATCTTGTTGCTATATTGTAGCGGTCCCTGCATCGATCGAAGAGAACTCAAATTAGATAACAGCAAAAGCATAAACTCAGGCGAAGATATTATCGAGAGACAAAATAATAGAAATTCATTGAGAAAACTTACTTGAGAGTGATGGCGGCGGGAAAGATGAATCCTATACAGACTGCGGCGGTTGCTCCGGTGAACTGGAAAGCATCCCAGATGCTAGGTATGAAGTTTGCTCCAAGGAAGATAACACCGATAAGGGAAGCAGTGATTGATGCGAATCTGAAGTTATCGAGAACCAAAGGTCTTGACGAAGGGAAGAGAAGACCGTCTATATTGAGTCGCAATGGAAAAAACACAACTGGAAATACAAACATGAGGTGTGCGGCGTAGCTAATACGAACAGCGTCGTTGAGCACAGAACCAAAAGGGATTCCGAGATCGGTATCAAAGTTGGCAAGCACGTCATCAAGGGTTCCTTCACCGAATAGGAGGAACCCGAAGAAGCTTATCATCATGTATACGGTTGAGCATAGACCGAGGGCCGTACGTACAACACTTTGCATCTGTGAGTTGTCCTCGAGTTCGTTATCTATGCTGTGAACTGAAAAGAGAAAAAGAGTGAATGATGTCACGCTCTAAAGGCCTGTCTGGATAAACAACTTATTTGCAACTTATAGAACAAGCACTTATTTATAAGTTGTTTGCATAAGCTATCTTGGAGAAGTTATAAAAACAAGTTAAAAAAAGATAATAAAAAATGTCATAAGTTGTTTTGATAAGGTTTCCCAAACAATGGCACAAAACTTATGTCAGAAGATAAGCTCAAATAAGTCAATCCAAATAAGCCTTAAATAAGTTTGAAACTTTTGCAACATTTGCCAAAATGTATCTCAAAAATTTTAGTAAGATTCTTCAATTTAGAGCAGTTCTATCAGACTTATTTGAGCTTAAGTACGGACATAAGCATTGTAAAGACCATTTGAGAGCATATGGAAACACTTTATGACATGTTTATAAGTAGTTTTCGGCTTATTTTCTATAAGTTCTCTAGGATAGTTTATGAAAACAGGTTATGTCTTATAAGAAAACAATTTCATTTCATTTTATCATTTGCTATAAAAAATAGCTTATACATGTGCAATTATATGATTAGCACTTATGCAATAAGCACTTAATTGAATTGAATAAAATGCATACCATTGTAGTGACAGATATAGGCAGTCACAAACACGGGAACCACGGTGAATAGGTCAACAATAGATGATACATCGGTAACAATTGGGAAGAGTCTCGGCATGCTAATGCCTCCACTTATTATCTTGACAATAGAAATTCCCACGGCAATGACAAGAAAAACAGCCGCCAGTGCAACGGAAAGGGCCGATGTGAATCTCAACGAATCTGCAACCAACGAGCATCCAAGTATTTATTATTAGGATTAGAATTAGCAAGTAATATCAACTAGTATCCAATGTAATCACATGTATCATTATCGTGCTTTCAATCTGAAATGTCGATGCTTCATAGATAACAAACAACGCACATTTTCCAAAATTTAAAATGAAGGAATAACACTTACCGATTCGCTTAAAGCATGCGAGTGGAGCAAATATAGCAACCGTCGTAAGAAGGACAATAAACGTACGTCCAGTCCACCAATGCACACCAAACCATCCTTCAAGGATACCGTAGTGATGTTTTACATTTGAAGATGTTCCTGAGAGCACGTCACCTGCAAAGTACAGAATAAAAATCTGAATTCAACAACCCAAAAGCCTTGCTTAAAGAGATCCAAAGGTAAAAAAGTTAAGGGTCTGTTTGGATTGACTTATTTGAGATTATCTACTTGCTTAAGCACGTTTAAGACTCTTTGAAAAAGGTTATATAAACAACTTATGACATGTCCATAAGTTGTGTTTTCCGCTTATTTCCACAAGCTCTATAGAATAACATATAAAAACAGCTATAGCTTCTACATGACCACTTATGATTAAGTTGTTTTTCCAAATAGATCCGAAACATATCCTAACGCTGAACTTTGAAGTACTAAAATTAAAGAATAGTGATAGTGTCATACCAATTATAATCATGTAAACGATAAGCGTGCCAACGTTATTAACGATAACACAAATCTGCGTCAAAGCTTTTCCATATTTCCCGAACGAATCACCCATCAAACCAGCATACGAAACCGATTTCCCTGCCCTTGTAAACCTAATCAAAAGCTCAATTGACTTCTCAGTCAAGAAAGCCATCATGAGTATACCAAGAAGACCGGGAATCATTCCTAATTGTTTCACGGTTGCGGGCAAAGCCATGATTCCAGCACCGATAACTGTTGTTGCCAAGTTGAAAACAGCACCGGAAAATGAAGCGCCGTTGAAATCATCGAACCCGGAGTCACTTTCATTGGCTTGACTTTTAGGCAACAAGGGTGCATTCTCATTCACAACTGCTTTGTTCTTCCTTGATTTCTTCTTCTCTGTCTTAGGTGCAAGACTTCCAATTGTCATTTTCAGTTTCTTTTACTTTTTTTTCACTTTTCAACCCTGGAAAATTTCAGAGCAACCAAACAAACCCTGAAAAACAAAAACACAAAAATCAAAAAATTGAACTAACCCAACTTACAAAATTAACCAAAGATACAAACTTTATAAGCAATAACTTCAGTTTAGCTTAATATACAATAATTAGGCTGTGTATGGTTCAGCGGTGAAAACAATTGATTTTGAATGAATTAACACAATACATAGTAGATTTTGTGTGTTACGTTCTGCGTGCCGTGAATTGATTTTGTAGAATTGATTCCAATTAAAAGTGAGTTAGATGAGTTAGATGTAAAGTGATTTTATGTCTAGATAAATTTATGTATAAAGTAGATGAACCATAAAAATCAAAAGTAAAAATCAAAAGCTACAATTCCTATTCTAGCTTTAAGTAGAATCAATTTTAGAGAGAGAATCAATTTTATTTAATAGAATCAAACACCTCAAAATCATTCCAAAATCAATTCTACCTCTTCCAAAATTCTCTAAAATTGCTTTTACCTATTCCAAAAGCTAAAATAAACATACACTACAAATTCTAGCTTAACAAGAATCAATTTTGTGGAAGAGCCAATAAAGTCAAAATCATTCGAAAATCAAGTTTACTCTAGAATTGCTTTTGGATCCCAAAAGCTAAACCAAACATACACTACAAAAATGAACAATAACTTCAACTTAGTTCAAATTATTACCTGAAAAATCAAAAACCGAATTTCAACCAAAAACTATTGAAGACCCAGAAGAGAGTTGAAACAAACCCAAATCCAAAAACTGAAAAGGAATCAACTTTACAACACAGAAACGTGAAATTCACAACCCCAACAAAGATTCAAATTCAACAGAACCCTGTTGAAAAAAATCAATAATTGGGGCCAAAAACCAATCTTTCTTCTACAAAAACAAGTAAATTATCCAAAAATTCACGAGATTCTGGGTTTATTGATTCCAATTGAAAGAAGGAATCAGAGAAAAACAAAGCTTTTGAAATGAAGATTTGGAAGAAAATTCGGAACCAAGAGAATAAAAAGCGAAAAAGATGAGTTGTTTTTTTGAGGTTGATGACCAATGAGGTTGTTTTATAGAAAAAATTAAAAGGACAAAATTACACGCAATATTATTTTATTTATTTATTTATTGTCAAAAAGATTTATTTATTTATTTTTATGATTGAAAATTTGAAACATGCATGCAACATTATTGAGCTTTTTTTGTTTGGTAGGAAAATGCTTTTGTCATCCTTTGTATTCGGACATATGCTAAATTATTTATACTTTCTCATAGTAATTACATTTAGAACATACCCCAAAAAAATGGTATTTATGATTTTCAAATTTATTTTTTTTATGGTATTTTCTAATTAAGAGAATTTAATATTGTATATTTATTGTAATAAAAATGTATAAATAGTTAATAAGATAAATATAAATTAATAAAATTATTATTTTCTTTTTCATTTATATTTATTTAACTTATAAAAAATAATAAAATATGACTATTATTATGGAGATAAAATATATTAATATTTATCTCGAAATTATCCTTCACCTTCATTATAAAATACACTATAAAAAGATTAATAAATAATTAACAAATGTAATAATTATATCACTTGTACCCTCTCATACACTTCCATGCGGCAGCTTCTTATTGGGCTTTTTAACAAAAAAAATACTTTCTCACCAAAATACAAATTTTTTTTTTACACACACACACACATATATATATATATATATATATATATATATATATATATATATATATATATATATATATATATATATATATATATATATATATATATATATATATATATATATATATATATATATATATATATATATATATATATATATATATATATATATATATATATATATATATATATGTTTTGGTTACTAATTTGTTATTCATTTGTCAAAATTGAAAATTTGAAACATGTAGTATTATTGAGCTTCTTTTTTTTTAATTTTTGTTTGGTAGGAAAATGTTTATGTCATTCTTTGTATTAGGACATATTCTAAATTATTTAATAAAATAAAGTGCATATGCTAAATTAATTAATACTTTGTCATAATAATTACATATAGATCAACATACATGTCCCAAAAAAGAATTGGTGTTTCAGTTTTTCATTTAATTTTCTTAATGGTGTCATCTAATTAAGACAATTTAATATTGCATATTTATTGGAAAATTAATATATAAAAAGTTAATGAAAATAAAGATAAATCAATAAAATTATTATTTCCTTTTTTATTTATATATTTAATTTATATAAAATAATAAAATATAACTATTATTTTAGAACCAATCAAATATATCATTATATAAATAATAAAATATATTTTATCCGTTTTAAAATGACTATAATTTTTTTAATAAAGTAATATATTCTGAAAAGAAGATTGATACACCAAAAATAAGGGGACTATTCCAAAATCCTCAAAAAGTAACCAACCTATAAAAAGGTATACCACATAATCATATCTAACATGTAAAGATAAAGAGTTAAATATAGTTAGGGTTAAAATTGTGCGGCCTAGGCTAGAAAAAAAATCCGCACAGCTATTTCCTTCTCTGAATATAAAAGACATATCAGAAATATCTTGCGACAATCCAACCACATAGTTTTAAGCTGGCAAGCAACTAAGACAGAATTACCAGAGAAAATTTTCTCCACATTACTTGAATTAGATTCAAGCCACAACTTTGAACAACCATGCTCTTTAGCTATCTTAATACTTTGAATGAATGCATAAAAATCATAGACTAGAGAGTTATCCGAGTTCATCCGTTCAGCATAAGCAAGAATGAAAAAATCCATATTGTCCTTGAAAATAACATCAATGCCTGCAAATACGAGATTTCGAGCACAGACTCCATCAACATTACATTTTATCCAATTCAACGAATGAGGACTTCAAATAACTTCTTTGATTTTAAGTGCTCTAATAGGATGAATAGGAACTTTAAATGTCTTAATAGTAGAAAAAGCTACAAGACCACCTTTATATAACTTCTTTGATTTTAAGTGCTCTAATACAAACATTTTTTGAATTGGTGTGGTGGTGCTAGAAGACATTCCGTTAAAGGGGTCATTTGGTCAGCAGTGACTTGTCTATATGGAAGAAAAGGAATAATTTGTTTTTAATTCAATCTCTTGTAATGTAGAAAACGTTTGTTGGAACTTGAAGATAAATGTGTGAAAATAGGGTTACATTGGTGAGATTCTCTACTCCAACCCTTCTTTTCTAGAGTTTTGTATGAATCCATTCTAGCTTTAGGGAGGTGTTGGTTGTGAATTTTACTTCTTTTGTAAGAGTTTGAATACCCCTTGTATTATCCATTTATATCAATTGTTTTTGAAAAAAAAATCACTTTGTTAAAAAAAATTGTACTAAATTGTAAGTCATTTTACAATCTTAATGCAACATTAATGATTTTTTTTCAAAATACCCTTTATCATTTATTATTATTTATTCTTCAAAATTTTTAATGAAGAATAATATGGTAAAGTCATGCATAATTTATTTTTTCTATATAACAATAATTTTGTTTCTTAATTTGTATAAAAGGTGCAAAACATCTTATAATTTGAAACTCATAGTCTACTTCTATGTAGTACTTTTAATATTTTAATAAAATGAAGGAAAATGCTAACGAATGTCTATGAAACACTAGTTAAGAGGTTAAATAAAAAAATTGAATATTATTTAAAAAATTAAAATAATATATATTTTTCTAAAAATAAATTTATTCAATCCACTGAATTCATAAGTAACTTTTAAAAAAATATTATGTATATTTAATACACTGAAAATATAATATTTTCTCTATTTAAAATTCTTAACCAATACTTCATTTTTCTCTGCTAAAAAAAATGGAAGGCTCTGCCGTGATGTAATGTGCAACTTGAAAGGTACAGTTTCAATTGTATTTCAAAGGTAGCAACAAAACAAATCATTTGTATTTTATTTTAAAAGAAAAAGCTTTATTATTCCAAATTGCATTGATGCAACTTGCAAATTATTCCATCAAAGAAAACAAAAGTACACATATTCTGTGGTCATGATGAGGCACAACAAAAATTCTATGTTGAGAAAATAATGTATTTAAGATATTGCCAAATGATTGTGTATCAAATATAGATGCTCAATAAAATATAACATATAAATTAGTATGGCAATAGGATAACAATAAATACATGTATAAAAATAAAGGACATACAAATTGATTTTATAATATTTAGATTTATTGAAAAAAATTCTTGTTGACTGTAATTCTAAATCACATATGTTAAAAGAGACAAACAACGAAGGTCCGAAGACGATATTTTTAATCTGTTGAATATTTTTTAGATTGGAAAAATAAATAAAATATTTTTCTGTAGTATATTGGAGACCATAACTTATTTATAAAATAATAATTAATTAAAATTTTTATTATTCTGAAATGGATCATCCTAACTTTCATTTTTATTTGAATTTATATTTAATTAATTAATTTTTAAATAAAATATAATTAACATTTTTAATTTTATTTGATGACTTAATTATTTAAAACATTTAATTTAATACAATAGTTAATATGTAATGTATGATATGAGAATGTCATTTTCACTTAAGAACATAATAATAATTCTGAACCATTAAATTTTAAAATAAATAATAGATATTATGTGTCATTTTTTTCTCTCTCCTCCGTCATTTTATTTTAATAATAAAGGAGAGAGAGAAAAATCACACATAAACTCCATCATATATATATATATATATATATATATATATATATATATATATATATATATATATATATATATATATATATAATTAGAATATTAAAAGAAAATTTATAAGTAATATTCCAACTCTTATAAATCAACTCTACAACATAAATTATTATATATACAATTATCAATTTTTTAGATTGTTAAACTCTGAATTTCTTAGTAAATAAATCTTTTGTTT